CTTATATAACTTTAATGCACACTAACTTCCCTACAGGGGATTTGTAACTTAATCTACTTATTTTAGCCTATATTAGTTGCATCTATGTAAGGGCAAAAAAGTGATTTGAAAGAAAAAAATGTGAATTTCAGTCCATCTGTGTGATACTCAAAGAAGATAATTCCTGATCTTATCCATTGAGCAAAGGAAAAAAAAAAAAAAAACGATTAAGTTGATTCCTACCTACTTGTCACAACTGCAGGGAAATACTGATATGAAAAACAATGTCCCCCAAATCCCAGAAGGTATGATTTAACAATAATATCTTTAACTTCTCCTCTTACCAAAAAAAAAAAAAAAAAAGATGTTTTTAGATCAACGTTTCTGGTAAAACCTCTACCCTAACCTATCTATTTTTCAAATGACAAAGGTAGGGTCCAAAGGCTTATCTAAGATCACAGCGTATCTGCGGAATGGTCGGCCAAACACACGGTGGGGGCTGCTTCTGGCGTATCGGCTTTTCGGCGCTTCTGGAACGGCACCAAACGCTTTCCTGAAGCGAAATCCACAGCACGGCTACCGAACTGCCACGCTCAACATGGCTGCCGCGCCGCAACACGGCAGCCACGCCCAACATGGACTCCGGGCGAAGGCCCAGCCCCGGATAACAACACTCCGGAAATGCCCGAGCGGCGGCGGAAGCGGAAGCCCGTCGGCGGTGGGGGCCGCGGGAAGTGTCTGTAGCGTTCTCCCTCCCTCTCAACCACACTAACAGACGGTGGGCCGGCGCAGGTGAGGCGGCGGCAGAGAGGGCCTGGGGCCAGGAGGCAGGCGGCGGGGCGGAGGCGGCTGGATGGAGGCTCTCGGGCTCCGGCTCCCTTCGGGCCTAGCCCTCTTGGGACAGCAGGGGTTAAGTTTGTGGTTCCTGGATTTCGAGGCCTTGCTTGCGGGTTTTTCGCCTTGTCTGAAACCGACCTAAAATTTCGGTCTAAAGAACCCTTTCTTGGCCTCGATTTCCGCAACAAAATGGGGTGGGGGTGGGGGTTGGCCGGGACCACTTCTGAGACTCCTACTCCCGGCATCACGAATTCCGCGACTTTAATATTACGTCGGTGCTTAGGCCATTAAATTGAAGAAGACCTGTCGTCAGCTTACTGAGGGGAGTCCCAGAGCGGGAAGCAATGACCACATCTTTGAAAGGGTGCCACGTCTGGGGATCGGGAGCCCCGAGTTTTAGTTTTGTCTCCTCCACAGACTCACTATGTGACCTTGTTCAGGTCCATTTTCCGCTTTGGGCTGCAGTTGAACGTGTTGGATGCCTTTAATATCCCTGGTATCTGGGCATCAGATTCTCAGAGAGGGACCTGAAAAGCATGCTCTGCCTTCACCCTGTTTCAGGTGATGAGAGATGAGTGATGAGAGATGTCTACCCTGTTTCTTTTCAGACACCAAGATGGCCAAGGGCATCTGGGCACTTAGGAGGGTTCCTGTGCAGTGGAAAACACTTTCCAGAAAACTTCCTCTTATAAACCTAAACCAGCAAAGTGGAAAATACGAGACTTTGGTTTTTGTCTTAAAGCTGCTATTAACGTGATGGTTCATTTGGGCAAATCCCTTTCTTTCTCTGGACTTGAGATTTCTCATTTGTCAAAGAAAGGTGTTGGATTAGTCACTGGCTCTTAGCCCCCTTTCCTGTATCCACAGCCATGATTTTCAGGGAGATGAAGAAGGTGTGTTGTGAAGAGTACATGCTGTGCAGTTACAGATTGAAAACAAAACCTGCTTGTATTTAACCTTCGTTTTTGGAATTGTTGATTAAGATGATCTGTTAAAGAGTCCTTTCCTCTTTAAAATTTGTGATGCTGTGTTTATAAAGCCCTCTTTAGGTGCAGAATGTAGACTTCTGTGTACCTTTTTCTTTTAATGATTTTGTGCCTAGAGGTACACACTTTAGTCAAGAAGATATTAATGTGTAGTGTAGGAGGAAAAGGTGTAATTAGATTTCAGTAAGGTAAAGTGGTATATTGAAATAAAATTGGACTTGAAATGGAGTTGAGGATCTGTATTGTTACTTCAGTATTGGTACACTCTGCCTTTGTGACTTTAGGCAAGCTAGCTCATGTCTCTGGGTCTCGCTTTCCTTATATGTAAAATGCAGGGTTGAATAAGTGGAGACTGTAATAAGTGGAGATTATATGCTTCATGAGTGAAAGACTTTATCACTACCTAGTAGTACTTCCTAGATAGTAAATAACTGAATGAGGGGATGGGTAAGTAGATAATAGCAGTCAAGGAAAGAAGAAACTTTTTCAGAAAATTGTCATTGATTAGAGAAGGAGAAATTGATTCAGAATTGTAAAAATTTAAAAGTAGAGGTGCCTAACTTTCTTGTCAATTGCAGCATAAGTTAATCACTGCCTGTGAAGTATGCTAAGGAAAGACAACTATGTGCTCTAGAGAGCCTGGTGTTATGTGATGAAAGGAGTAATTAGTAGAACAAGTGAAGGATGGAGAAGGGCATTGACAAGATAGGACAAGTATGGGAGGATTTTAGTTGTGACAGATAATAGAGAGTTAAGACATAGAGGTAAGAATTTTGTAGGTATCCGCGATATGAGAATTAGGAATCGTAAATGTGAAAATCCTTATGAAGGAAATAGAGGATTAAAAGAACTTAATTTTGCAAGCTAGAAAATGGTGCTCCTCTGTAAGAAGTGGATACAGCTTAGAACATTGAGAGTTAAAAGATAGGGGTAATTTGGAAACAATTCAAGTGACCTAGTAGAGGAAGTATAGTTCTGTTTAGGATGAGAAAGAGATTTAAATCAGCAGAAAAGAAGAGCACTCAGAGAAATTGTGTTTTTGAAGAACCCTGATGTAAAGAGTACTTGTAAGCAACTCAGGTTTAGGAATGTGCTTGGGATACCAGGACAAATGTGATGCTTCCTACAGTTCAAGTCTGCTAATCAGGTATAATAACTAGGGTACCCCAAATGACTAGCCTGCTATGTGGGAACCTGAATTAGGTGGACTACAAACCCTAATTTGTGAAAGAAGGTGTGATCAGAGGCATATCAGTCAGTGCATCTGGAAGCTCATCTTCACGCATTGGGACATAACTCTGGAATGCAGGAAGATAGCTATAGAGGGCAGAGCACTGACCTGATAATAGGGTGTGTGATATAGTCTGGGATGCCTGATGTCTTGTGTGGGAATCTCTGGATGAGCTTTGATGTGTCTCAATGAACACCCTGTATATGTAACTCTGCTTGCCAGAATCTGGATTGAGGATATGCTGCTTTTATTGTATTCTCAGTTGGGTCTGTGACCCACAAAAAAATTGAGAACTATGTGACAAAGTAGTCTCTCAGGGCCCCTTTAACTTTTAATTTATTGGGATTCAATAGTTTGTACAGAACGACATCTCTCTGAGGTTCAGAGTCTGATCCTCCACAGTAGTTCTCAACCTTCTTAATGCTGCGGCTCTTTAATACAGTTCCTAGTTCCTGTGGGTTGCTACCCACTGCTGCTCCAGAACTTGCTAACCCAGAAGTAACACCTAGTGCTACAAGATGAGTCATTTCATATTATGTTCACCTGTTCTTTATACAGGCATACTTCAGATATTGCAGGTTAGGTTCTAGGCCACCACAGTAAAACATCATGAACTTTTGGTTTCCTGATGCATAAAAAAGTTATATTTACACTGTACTATAGTCTATTAAGTGTTCGGTAGCATTATGTTTAATACAACCAATGAGCATACCTTCATTTAAAAGTACCTTACTGCTGAAAAATATTAATGATCACCTGAGTGAGCCTTTGGTGAGTCATAATTTTTTGCTGGTGGAGAGTCTTGCCTCAGTCTTTATGACTGGTGACTGATCAGGGAAGGGGGTAGCTGCTGAAGGCTTGTTGGCTATGGCATTTGAAATAAGATAGCAGTGAGGTTTGCTTCACTGATTGTTGACTCTTCCTTCACAAAAAAATTTCTTCATAGTATGTGATGCTGTTTGATTTACTATAGTAAAATACCTTCACAATTGAAGTCAGTCATTTCAAACCCCGCTGCAGCTTTGTCAACTAAATTTATGTACTATTTTAAATCCTTTGTTGTCATTTTAACAATGTTCACAGCATCTTTACTGGAATTAGATTATATCTCAAGAAACCACTTTTCTGTTTTCACCCCATAAGAAGCAACTCCTTACCTGTTGGACTTTTATGATGAATTACATCTTCACGCTGCATTTCTAATTCTCTTGCCATTTACAGTGTATCTGCAGTGACTTCCTCCACTGATGTCTTTGGCCCCTCAGAGTCATCCATGAGGGTTGAAATCACTTTTTTCCAAATCCTTGCTAATGTTGATATTTTGACCTCCCACGAATCATGAATGTTCTTAATGGCATCTAGAATGGTGAATCTTTTCTAGAAGATTTTCAGTTTATTTTGCCCAATTTAGAAGAATCACCGTCCGTCCGTAGCAGCTGTAGCCTTTTAAGAAATCTGTTTCTTAAAATCAATCTTGAAAGCCAAAATTATTTCTCGATCTAAGGCAGTGGGTTTTCAACCTTCCTAATACTGCGGCCCTTTAATACAGTTCCTGTGGGTCACAAGCAACAGGTTGAGAACCGCTGATCTAAAGGCTGCAGATGTATGTTATGTTGTCAGATGTAAAAGCAACAGTAATCTCCTTAATACATCTCCATGAGAACTTTTGAGTGACTAGATACATCATCAGTGAGCAGTAGTGTTTGAAAAGGAATCTATTTTCTGAGCAGATCTCAAAAGTAACCTTAAACAGATGTGCTGTCACCTAAGCTCTGTTTCATTTATAGAGCACAGGCAGTGTAGATTTAGCATAATTCTTAAAAGAGTCCTAGGATTTTCGGAATGGTGAATGAGCATTGGCTTCAGCTTGAAATCACCAGCTGCATTAGCCCCTAACAGGAGAAGCTGTCTGTTGAAGCCAAGCATTGACTTCTCTCTAGCTTAGTGGTTCTCAACCTTCCTAATGCCACGGCCCTTTACTACAGTCGCAACCCACAGGTTGAGACCCGCTGCTCTAGCTAGTCCTACATAGCATCTTCTTCCATTATAAAGCTGTTTCTTCTACAAATTCAATATCTGTTTAGTGTAGACACTTTCATCAGTTATTTTAGCTGGGATCTTATGGATAACTTAGCTTCTCCATTAGCACTTGCTAATTTGCCTTGTACTTTTATGTTAATGATGATGAATTCTTTCCTTAAACCTCAAGAACTGAACCCTTGCTAGCTTCCATCTCTTCTTTGTAGCTTTCTTACCTCTCTTCACAAAATTGAAGAGAAGGCATTGCTCTGGATTAGGCTTTGGCTTGAAGAATATTGTGTCTGGTTTGAATGTCCAGACCACTAAAACTTTCTGCATATTGGCAATAAGGTTGTTTTGCTTTTGTTATCGTTTGTGTGTTCACTGAAGTAGCCATTCGCTTGCCCTTTACAGTGTATCTGCAGTGATTTAATTTTTTTAAAGAAGTTTTTCTTGACAGCTTGGCTAACTGGTTGAGAGGACTAGCTTTTGGCCTGTTGGGTTTAAATGTGCCTTCCTCACCAACTTTAATCATGCCTAGCTTTTGATTTAAAGTGAGAGATCTCTGACTCTTCTTTTCAATTGAATAAATTTAGAGGGTACTGTAGGGTTATTAATTGGCCTAATTTCAATATTATTGTGTCCTAAGGAACAGGGGAGGCTCAAGGAGAGAGAATGATGGAGGAATGGCCAATTGAGGGAGCAATCAGAACACACATTTATTAAGTTTGTTGTCTTATATGGGTGTGGTTCATGGTGCCCCCCAAACAATTACAGTAATAAATGCTGAGATTACAGATTATCATAAAGCATATGATAATGAAAAAGTTTGAAATATTGTAAGAATTACTAAATGTGACAGAGATATGAAGTGAGTACATGCTGTTGAAAAAATGATGCCAATAGACTTCCTCAACGCAGGGTTGCCAAAACCTTCAATTTGTTTAAAAAAAAAAAAAAGAGAGAGAGAAAGAAAAACCGTTCTCTACGAAGCACAGTAAAGCAAAGCACAATAAATTGAGGTGTGCCTGTACTCACCTGGCTCTCATTCTCCATGAATTTTCTACTAGGCCCCCTCTAATTCATCTCATTCTCTATTTCTGATAAATGGATTTTCCTTCCTCTTTTTCTTTTAACCTGCGGCTGCTTTGAACCTTCCTTACCTTGTTGAGTTTCTTAAGTGAAAGCAGTGTTTAGTGACTGATAATGATGTATTAGATGTAAGAGTGGGCAGAGAACAAGACAACAAAGCCTATTACAGCAATTTTCTATTCTCACTTGCTTTTGTTACTCCTCTAGTTAAAAACAAAAGCAAGTAAGAGAGGGGATACATTCAAGAGAGATGCCATCAGCTCTTGGGATTCTGCATGGAGTCCCAAGTCTCCCATGTTTTGAGAGAGAAGCATTTGTGGTATGGAGGGGGTTTAGTTTGGATGTAGTAGCTTTGAAGGATGTTTAGGTTTTCGAGACAGCTCATAGGGCAGAGGAAGTAAAGGTCAGAGCTCAGGAGAAGTAGGAAGGAGAGTTGGAAATCTTTTTTTTTTTTTGGTTTTCTTTAAATATATTTGTAGTAGCTGAAGTCTTAGGAATGAGTACAGTTGCCAGGTGGGGGAGAGTTTGAGGCTCAACTGGCAAAGAAGGCTGAAGAATGGTCATAGAGGAATGGCAGGGGCCAGGGGGAATATCAATTTGACAGCCAAAAGATGAGAGGGTTTCAAAAAAGGAGTGGTCAGCAGTGCCCTGTACTACATATGGATCAGATGGGCTGGCGGGGGGTGAGGGAGAGGCTATTGGAATTGATGACTAGAAATTTGAAATAACTGTAGAGCAGTTTCAGGAACAAGATGGAAAGATACCTTCAGAGGGTGCAGTAAATATGAAAAGGTGGGTAGGCAATGATGTAATCAGAAACAGGTGAGCATCTTCCTTTTTTTTTCTTTCGTGGGCAGTTCTGAGTATAAACTTTGTTTCTCCAGAAATCCGTTAGTCAGAATGTGAGGGATAACGTGGAAGTAAACGTCTGAGAAGCCAAAATAGGCGTCGTAAATTCAGTGTTATGTGTTAATAGCTCATGTGCCTTATCTTTGCAGAATTCTACTATGATGCTAATCCACACAACAGTTTAAAAAACTTACTTGACTGATTTTTTTAGGCCGTAACTGGTTAGAAGCAGTGAATTACTGTGGTGGAGGGGTCTTTGGGTATATGGATGGGGTACAGGGGAAGGCAAGCCTTCTGACATTTTCAAGAAGTAAACAGCACATAACCTTTCAGTGAGGAAAGAAGAGACTGCGAGCATGCGCTGTCTGTGATGGTGCACTTAGTTTAGTAGTGTGCTCCCATTTACTGCTGAAGCAAAGGAACCCCAGGAACTCCATACACTTCGGTAACCTCTGCCCACCTGGTGCCTTGTCATTCTGAGCTCCTGGTGTGTAGTCTGTTTCTTTCATTGTTAAAACTGGTTACTGGTTGCCCATTGTATTAAGTATTAAGAGCCTTGCTGGAATTGATCTTCATCTTATTCACCTTATCACCCACTATACCCTAATACCTTTAGTTTTACTTCAGTTCTTTAAGAGAGCTCAGCATCTTCCCTGGATTTAGCACATACTCTTGCACCTCCAAGAATGCTTTCCTTCCTTCCCACTTTCGATTTGCATGGTTGCTTCCTGCTCTTCCCCTCAGTTATCAGCTCAGTTGTCCTTAGGAAAACCATCAGGACTCAAGCCCTCTTGTTCTGTATTCCATTAGAACTGTCTTTTCTTTTTCTATATCATTTATCTCTGTAATTCTGAGCTCATTCTCATGGTTATTTGATGATCTGTTTCCACTTCCCTCCAGGGTCCTTAGTTCACAATGCTAGACACAGCAGGCATTCAAAATTAATTTGTAGAGGCATGTCTGAATTAACGAATACATGGATGAACCTCATTAATTCAAAATTAATATGTAGTGGCATGTCTGAGTTAATGAATTCATGGGTGAACTGTTCCATATCCATTTTAAAATAATTATTCCCACACAGTTTGACAATCAAGATGTTACTCTAAATGCTGATCAACAAGACAAAACAGAAAAATATCTGGGTACTCAATCTACTTTCTCCCTCCTTCACTTCTCCATTACTCCCTCCTTTCTTTTCTCTTTTTTTTCTTTTCTCCTTTCCTCCAAAAGCAGCATGTATGTGTGATATAAAACTGAATTAACTTCTCAGGATTTACATGGAAAGGAGAAAGAGTGCTTCATTCTTCATCTGAACTTGTGGGTGAACTTGTGTTGATTTTCCAGGAGATTAGGTTCACAGAGGGGTCTATGACCCATTACTCTCATCCCCTCACTTTATGTGTGAAAGAATGAAGAATTTAAAAGCTTGATGCAAGTCAATAAAAGTAGTTCGGGGCAGGTCCAAGGCTAAGAAATCATGAATCCTATCATGTTGTTGTGTTAGAGGCTTTTCTAGAACCACAAATTCCTGAAGCTGGTAGGGGTTTTGTTTACCTAGTTTAATGATCTTTCTTACATACGAAAAAAATTGACACTTGGAAAAGTTGAATGAAATAGCTAGGCAACAACAGAGTACAAATTAGAACACAGAATTCTTGATTCCTGGGTTTTTGCTAATTCTAAATAATGGTTATTTATATTTTCAACTGCTCTTTAGATGATCTCATGTTTTTTGCATAGAACAAATTAATACTTTTATTAATTTGAATGTGGTATAACATTGTACTAGTACTACCTTTGTGTATATTTTATAATAAACATTGTTTTGCCTAGGTTTTAGTTGGGATAATTTCTGTCTTTGGAATTTTTTTTTTTTTTTTTTTTTTAGTCTACTGTATTCTTTGCTTGTTTTTCAGTGCTTTAAACTCAAAATAAACAAGGAAAGGTTTGCTCTTTGATACTGGAGAGTACACAGCAATGGGACCACGAAAGAAAAGTGTTAAAACCTGTCTTATGAATAATGAAATCCCAGAGGAAACAACATCAGATGAAACAAAGGACTACATGAATCAACTTTCACATGAAGTACTTTGCCATATTTTTCGGTAAGATTTTATTGGGTTAACTTTCACTTACCTGGAATGTATAATATAGGAGCAGACCCTGGAGCTGTGCTCTCTGATACGGTAGTCACTAGCTACATACTACATGTAAGTACAAATTAAATAAAATTAAAATGCATTTTCTCCTTTACATAAGCTACTTTTCAAGTGCTTGTTAGCCATGTGCAATTAGTGGCTACTCTGTGGAACAGCACAGATGACAAATAGAAATTACTTCTTTTGTTACAGAAAGTTCTATTGGGTATCCTTTCTCTTGACTGTTAACGTTTCTGGGCTTCTTGGAATTTTTATTGGCTGAAAGATTGATTGACATGTGTTACCACCTTGTCACAGTACCAACTATGTAAAACATAAGGCTGTGTTTCTGACTCTAGCCACAACCCAAAGTGAAACTTATTTTGGTCAATAAGCATGGACAGGTTTGGCACCCATAGCACAATGGTTACAGCCCCAGCCACATTGAGTGTGGCGGGTTCAATTCCCAGCCCAGGCCAGCTAAACTACAATGACAACTGCAAGAAAATTAGCCAGGTATTGTGGCGGGCACCTGTTGTCCCAGCTATTTAGGAGGCTGAGTGCAAAAGAATCGCCTAAGCCCAAGTGTTTGAGGTTGCTGTGAGCTGTGATGCTATGGCACTCTACCAAGGGCGACGTAGTGAGACTCTGTCTCAAAAAAAGAAAAAAAAATGAGCACATATAGTTAAGTGATTAAAACAAAAGTTTTGTGAAATAATGCCCATCATTACTATTCAGTGCACATATTAGAATTGTTTTGTGATTAATATAACACAAGAAATGCTTTTGTTAAAAATGAAAACTGTTTGGAAAATTATTTTTTTGCCCAAACTGTTGTAACAAAAACTAAAAAAAAAAAAAAGAAAGAAAGAAAACTATTAATTCCAGTTTCCACTACCCTCTTCTTTTAGTTGTTGTCTTTATTTATACCAGTCACATAAATAAATTCTTCCATACTTTGTCTTTGGAGTTAGAGACCTGAGGTTGAATCTTGGGTTCATCATTTATTAGCTGTGGACCAATGATAGATAAAAAGGTGATAATATTAGGAGTCAGTAAGATAATGCCTAAAAACACTTAGCACACTGCATGGTATAAATGCTTGGTATAGTAATGGTTATTATTGTGTTCTCCCTTTTTTCCTATTGTTTCCTGGACTAAAATTATGATTTTACTCAATGCTTTC